TGGTTGGGGTGTTGTACATTTATTATCCAAATCCTGGCTGACACCCTGGCCTATGGACTGGATTTTGCATTTACTGTCATTTAATTAGAACTAGGAGGAGTCCAGGAAAGTGAGTGACATATGATTAACTCTTGTGTTGCAAGCTAGTCCAGGGAGAAAGGCGGCTGTACTTTTGCTGGATATTCTTATGTACATGAATGTAGATGAGTTACACACGTAAGAATGTACATGGATGCAGAAGAGTTTCCCACACTAAGCAGTAGAGACTGGCAGGGCTATGTGGATAGGGTTGCATTGCTTTTCCGCCTGCCCCACACTGCGCATCGCTGCAAGATGCCAAGAGGGAGCAGCAGGGAGTTGGGCACTTTATGAATGCCATGTCAGAAGGGTTGGATTGGCTCTGCTGCTATGCCCACGCCATGCTGAGCTCCCCACCGCCCTCCCCCTCACCATCTCAGTAACAGGCGACATAGGGCATTGGAAACTCGGAACAGTGCAGCCCCACTGGCTGCTACAGGCATTATGCATAGGCAGCACAGACTTCTCCCCACACATGTGAAGTTTGTGCAATTCTCTGACACAAAGAATCTCAGCATCTATTTTTTATTCTACGTTTCCAGCCCTTATAGTTGCAAAACTATTTCTGGAAGATATAATGCCATGTCACATACACACACCCCGACTTGGGCCCCAGGTTATGGGTGCCCAGCACGAGCAACATGACATCACGTTGCAACATGACATCATGATGTCATGTGCCGAGGTCTCGCAAGGCCTTGGACAGCATCTCTAAGGCCTTGGATGTGACTTCTGGTGCTTCGCAAGGTACCAGAAGTTGCATCGGGGGCCCTGTGGTAGGAGTGACGAGCACCCACAACAAAATTTTTGTGGGTGCTCAGGGCCCCCTAGAGATGGTGCCCCTGCACACATATATATGAAGAGATTTCAGTGGTTGTTTCAAGTTCCTGCCGCCTCACCCCACTTGTGTCCAATAGGAACACAGAACATAGGAAGCTGCCTTGTAGTGAGTCAGACCACTGGTTCATCTAGTCCAGCATTGTCTACACTGACTGGCAGCAGCTGTCTGGAATTTTAGGCAGGAGGTGCCAGACATTGAACTTGGTACCTTCGGCCTTCAAACAGGAGTTAAACCACTGAACTATGGTGCTTCCTCAAATAATGGCTTCATCATAAAGAAAGAAATAGTAGAATAAAGTGTTTGTCACCTCTCCTTTGGCATTCGCCAGGGCTGGGGAAATGATATGAAAATTATGTTATAATTGCATGTAACCATGTATGGAAATAACTGGCAGCTCTCCAGTTTGTATTTCTGATGTGGTTCCCAGTCATGAACAAATCACCCACCACTGAAGCCAAGTTGTTTCCTCAGCATGTGTACATAATAAGTGTGGCAGTGCTAGATCTTGATCGACATAATTTGCCCACAGTTCTTTCCTTTAGGAAACGGCAAAACTCTTTCAAGTCCGAAGGGGCTGCTCATAAAAACTAAACGCTGGCAAACACATTAAAACACATGCTTTGAATAGACAAACAAGCTTCTCATGACCATAAAATCAGAATGGCAGTAGAGTGAAGGGGCAATGTTCTTAGGTGGGAAGGAAGATGAACAGAGAAGAAATGGCTTAAAATTCTTGGGTGCGGGGCACATTTGATCTGCAGATCAGCCATCCCTACTTTAGAAGATCACTTATTTTATGAACAGCAGCAAAAAAACAAACCTTTGATGCATTGAAGAGGCACTGGCTCTGGATTGGGGAATTTTCTTCTGCAGGAGCATAACCCGTTCCCCCCACCCGCCCGATCCGTACCCCTCCCAATCTTGTTCTTAATGTGGAATGTATGCTATGAGTACACATAAACAAATGGTCTTCTCTTCCCACTACAGCAGATGCCTCACTGTTTCTGAAACACAATGGGTGTGTGTCTGTTTGAGTTTTCATATAACCAAGCCATTCTTTTCTGAATGTACACACAAACACACAGGGAGATTTAAAGCAAACAGGATACTGATAGAATTGCCTCCTTCCTTTCAGTGATAAGATCAGCCACTTTCCCATCAGGAAGCTTAAAAAGAAAGTAATTCACACATTCATGTATTTCAAAGAGGTTTCTCCTGTGAGGCCTGCTATCTTTCAATCTAAGCAAAACTGTGGGACTGACATTTGCTGGACAACAAAATAAAAGGCATACACCATAGGATTTAATGAATGAGTCCTGTCAGCAGAAGCCCTGTACAAAGATGTCTGCTTGAGCAATGGGGTTCTCCCCTTGCTCTCCCCCATATCCCCCCTGTACCCCTGAAATTGGCTTCAGGGCAGGGGTCAGGAGAACCCCAGAAACACTGCATGGGGAAAGGAGAGAGGGGCGGGGAAAATTTTTTCCACTTGTGGAATGAGCAGAGGAACATGATGTTGAATTCCTTCCAAAATCACATGTATTGCTATATAGTCCATAAACAATCAGAGCTGTACATGTTTACAGGCATCCCCACATGCATCCAGTTGGCCACTGTGGGAACAGAATACTGATCTAGGATAGGTCAGGCATGGGGAACCTTCAGCACACAACCCAAATGACTCCTGGCAGAGCTCGTAATTTGGCCTGTAAGGCCATTTGGCCCCATCCAAGCTGACCTGTCACTCAACATCAGATGTGGGGCAAGTAAAGTGAATGTTGCAAAGGAGCAATTCATAGCCTTAAAGTGCCCTCCTGATGGTTGCTCTGCAGTGGGAGTGACATCTGGTGCTGTTTAAATTTAGTGCCAAATACATGTCCTGCTATTTTGGAATAAATCTGCTCTGCTCTGCAGCTCTCCATTGGGAGTTTCCCTGTGCAACCAATTTCAGTGGATTTGCATTCGGCACAGAATTTAAAGAGCACCAAGTGCAAGCCCCACTGCACAGGCACAACCAGGAGTGCACAGCTTCAGAGTGATCCTTTGCAACAGTGCTCCAAGCAAGGCCTGCTTTTGTCTGGCAGCCTTTCTCAACCTGTGGGTCCCCAGATGTTGTTGAACTACAACTCCCATCACCCCTAGCTAGCAAGGCCAGAGCTCAGGGATGATGGGAGTTGTAGTCCAACAACATCTGGGGACCCACAGGTTGAGAACCGCTGGGAGGGTTTGGATCCACATGTGATCACAGGAAGGTGAACCCACCCACCTGTCAAAATCGCAGGGGTTGGCCTAGATGACCTTTGGGACACCTCCCAAAACTACAACTCCATGATTCTATGAAAAAGTGGCTCACAGAGGGGTGGGGCACTTACTGATCCTGTCCACTAGACAAAAGTGGTCCCCCCACCCCCAAGATCAACCTTTGCTCTTTTATTTCTTTTTCTTCTTTCCATTGAAATGAAAATTACATTGTGCTTATGTTCATAATTTATATGATGGAGAATGTCTTAAAGTCTACTAATTAGCACTCTATTATTTTAATTAGCTGTCTATAAAATCTGCTAAACAGCAACCATCCAATTATAGTCAGATGGAATTCACCGACTTGTTAACTTCCATAACCCTCAACACAATGGAGAAGAAAATGGAGCTATATAATCCAAAGCCAAAAAGGGCTGCTTCCTGTAAATGAATTCAGCAGAAATGACAATTATCACAGCGTCTGCATCAGATACCTTTAGACAGTTTTACATACAGACTTGGCTTGAAGGCTGATCTGATAAACCTCATGACTCTTTTTATAAGCCATGTGTCTTATGCCCTTTTAAAATGTGGGGTTTTTTTGGAGGGGTGTTATTGGGTTGTTGTTTTTATTTTTATTATATAGTTTGTGGTTTTATATTTCAATTTTATTCTGTGAACTGCCCTGAGACCTCCAGGTATAGGGTGGCATATAAATTCAACAACAACAACAATAATAGAAGGCACACAATAAAAATATTATAATAACTCAGCCTAAAAAGAAGAACTTTCTAGCACTCATGGGCTGCATTCCAGAGAGCGATACTTTAGACAGGCCTGAGGATTTGCAAGTATTACAGGAGGATATGTGACCTTTTTCTGGGAACAGCGAACACCCATGAAATATCACAAACCTTCAAATATCACAAAAGTATTTGAAAGCCCCATTTCTTTGCCATGTGATATGAGAGGCTGCCGTTGGAGAAACACAAGTCCAAAGCCTATTTGGGCAACTGCCTCTTGGGATTCATTCTAACAAACATTTTATGTTAGAAATGCGCCATAAATATTCGGAACGCACAACTACCATCAACATCCCCTACCAACATATTGCAAAGAGAGTACACAGAGAGGATTGTATTGGAGAACAAAATCCTTTGTGGGGAAACAGAGAGGTGACCAATAGGCCTAAGAAGCCCCTTTCAGGCGTTCTCCCCTCAGGGGACAACAATTGCACAAGGGGAAGGGTGGTGTCACACTTGCTGCCCCTACTCTCACCACTGTTTTCCTTCCAGCCCCTCTCCCTACCATGAGGGAGAAGGTTTGAAATGGAGAGCCCTGCTCCATGTGTGTAGCAGAACCCCGAAGGCTGATATACAGGTGAGGTGGCCTAGGAGAGACGGCCTGTGCTGCTGCAGTTTTCCCACAGCACCTAGAAATTCTCTGTTCAATCTGGTCCTGGCCATTCCCCATATACTCTGTTTTTCTTAGCAGCCCTAACATATGCATTTTTGCTTCCTCAAAAATGTCCCAGTCCAACAGTGGCGCATCCCATTTCACCACCAGCCACCCCACCACCTCCACTGGAGAAGTGGCACCAGTGGTGGGCAGGGCACCCACAGAGGTGGTGGCTTCACCCTGCCTAATGCATGGGCCGGACCCAGTCAGTCCTCACCACAGCAAAAATCCCCCCCACCACCACCATTGAGTCATCGTTACTGAAACATAGTGTATCTTCAGGCTAGAGGTACCCAAATCCCTGGCTGGACCTTCTCAAAAAGTTTCTGACAAAAGACTTTGGGAGACAAGAGATCACGGCAGCTCTCAGTGCCAACCTCCTTACCATTTGAAGGATTCCACAGTATGCCATCACGTACCCAGACGCCGCTGCTTCCAGACCAAAGAAATCGATAGATACGATAGAAAACATGATCAGGAACACACCTAAGGTTAAGGAAAAGACAACCTCTTTTTAGAAGGCAGGCGGCAGTGCTCAGCGCTGTTAACTAGAGATAATGGGGCAGAAGCCATGTAAACTATGTATCTGTAGTGGCCTGCAAAGGTGCAGTGTTGCTGTTCTCCTGGGTCTCAAACGCAGCATGTTGCTGGTGCCTACCTGTGGGAGAAGGGGAGTGGTGAGGTGCAGAGGGTTTGGGGCTTTGCAGTGTGGCTGAGCCAATCTGAGGCTCTCGCCCTTAGGCTCCTGCACAACCCTTGAACTCCCCAGGCCTCAACCCTCCTGCTGCAGTAAGCACCGGCAACACACCATGTGTGGAAGCCAGGAGAACATTGGTGCTTCATTTTTGCCACCACACAGGATGCTACTATGTGCTTTATCGCCACTGAACTATACTTTCCCCCCTTAAATGCGGTATCTTTTAAAACTCAATCATTTGGCATGTCTAAAATTGCCATGCCACATACTTTTTCTTGCTCTCTTTCACCCAAAGACGTCTGAAGCACAGTGTAGTGGTTGGGGTGTTGGGAAAGGACTGGGAAGGCCCAGGTTTCAAATCCCCACACAGTCACAAGTTTCACTTGTGTGACCTTGTGACACACTTCCTTAGCACAGCAACAGGGTTGTTGTAAGAACAAAATGGAGGACAGAGAAATATGTGTGCTACCTTGAGCTCCTTGCCCAAAAGGCAGGATATAGATAGATTTGATAGATAGATGATAGATAGATGATAGATGATAGATAGATAGATAGATAGATAGATAGATAGATAGATAGATAGATGATAGATAGATGATAGATAGATAGATAGATAGATAGATGATAGATGATAGATGATAGATGATAGATGATAGATGATAGATGATAGATGATAGATGATAGATGATAGATGATAGATAGATAGATAGATAGATAGATAGATAGATGATAGATAGATGATAGATAGATAGATAAATGATAGATTAGATATAGATAGATAGATAGATAGATGATAGATAGATGATAGATAGATATAGATAGATAGATAGATAGATAGATAGATAGATAGATAGATAGATAGATAGATGATAGATAGATAGATGATAGATGATAGATGATAGATGATAGATAGATGATAGATAGATAGATAGATGTGCATATATATATACACATGCAGTCAGTAAGTAAATGCTTATCTGCACTAAAACATATACCTCTCATTTGTAGAAAAATAAGTATCAATTTATGTTCTTGGACAGCTAACCTATGGAGTTAAGCAGTGAACACTAGATCATGGTTAAGTCTAGCACAGATGAAGTCCACATCTACATCACATGTGCAGGGTAGCCAATCCACAAGCGCTTTAAAGTAAGTCTTACTGAGTCCAATCGGGCTTACTCTCAGGAAAGTGTGCACGGGACTGTAATGTTCAGCAGAGGCATACTTTCCAAAGTGAGTTTGTTTGGAGAATACCATAATTAAGTGGAATGTGTTAGTGCTTTGTGAGTTCCTCAAAAGTTTTCTTGCTTTGAAAAAGAGGCTTCCATTTCTCTGCATTATCTCTCAGGGAATGTTCAGATTTCTTTAGAACTTTGGTGGGTGTGGGATTTTGAGCTTGCCTCATCATTAAATGGTGGCCAAGGGTGTGTGTTCTTCTTTTCAGTAAGCATTTCCACAGCAATCTGCAGCCTCCCTGGCTGCAATTCCTGCTGTGAAAAACCCCACAGGAAGGTGATATCTTACCCTGGCCTTTAATTGAAGGAGAGGAAGCCAGAAAGGCTGCAGAGTGCAGCCCAATAGTGAGGTGATGTGTAGGATGAAAGACAAGATATCTCCAAATACTCATCAGTCACCTCAGAAGTAAAGCAAGTGTGACAAACCCCTTGGGAAGATTACTGAATTTTTCACTCCGCTTTGATATTTTTCAAATACAATTTCTTTTCTTTTCTCTAATTGATGGAGAACAGGGCAGATGGACACCTGTGGAATTGTCAGCACAGCACTAACCTGTGTACATCACAGCTTTGCTTATAATATAAATACAGGCAACACTATAATTTGGGCTCTACATATGTGTACATTACTAAAAATAATTATATGGTTGGAGCAACGAGATGAAAATAAATGAGAACATTTATCGGAAGGTTATCCCTCCAGCATTGAGGCATGAATAAGTGGATAACAGCCAAATCTCCTTAAGATGTAATCTCAGCCCTTCTCAGGGTCTCAGCAGGTTGGATCAGCAGCCGCAGAGACAGGCTCAGAAAGAGCATCAGAGCACTGGGCAGCCCAACCCTGTGCATCTTTATTCAGAAGAAAGTCCCACCAAGTTCAGTGGAGATTAAGGACTGCAGAGGAGTGAAGCTTAAAAAAAAGCAGTGGTAGTGCTCACACAATTTCATTGTAAAAATTGTGGGGTGTGAGATAGGATTAGACCCTGTTTCCTTCTTCTTATTCTATTATATAGATGGCTTGATGAAAAAAGAACACACAAGACCTTGTTTCGTAGGTGTTGACAGCAGCAAAAATACTATACGCAAGTAAATGGAGATTACAGGTTATGCCAACTCTAAATGAATGGATTGATAAAATCTGGGAACCCATGTTAATGGCAAGATTGACGCATTATATGGGGACAAAAGAACCCATTCAGTTTAATGTGCACAGGATCAGATTGAAAAGGGAAGATACAGGACTGAGATAACAGCTGGAGCCAGAAAATTTGCCCACATGTAGCTTACAAACCCAAATTCTTTTTCATTCAGTCTTTCAAATGTAATCTCTTTAAACAATGGCAGAGTATTATTGGGGGGGGGGAATAGGAGCCCACTTATTCAATATTGTAAGAAAAACATTCCATGCTATACCTGCAATTTAAAGGGTGTTTTGTATTGTATTGAATTCCGAGAATTTCTCCTTTATTTAAGAAGTGACGCAATGGTATATAAAGCACAGAGATATTGAGTTTAAGATACTGAAGTAAGTGGTACAAAAGCTGCTTGCCTAGTGGGGAGAAGCTTCAGGAATAGTTTGCTGTGAGGGGTGTCACTAACACAGTGAGGCAGGGGTTACGTGTGAGCACTGGCAGAGCCAACCCAAGCAGCCCTGACCTCACCACTCCTACTAAGCAGCAAAAGGCTACTGATTTAGGTCCACCCCACTGAGCAAGTCACTTCTGAAGTGGCATGCAGCATCTCTAATAGTATAAGGGTATGCTTGTGTAATTAGAAGTTACAATAATGAGTTTTAAATATAGACACAAGCTGGACATTACGTTGATGGTGTGTTTAACTCCTGTGCTAAGGATTCCCCAGGTCCTTTTTTACAGAAAAAGCTACACTTGTTGAAATTCCCTCTTCTGCACAAGTATTAAAGCAGTAAGAGCCCTGACCTCATTTTAATTTGGCCACTTGCTAATGGCCTCAGGTGCTGAAGGCCAGCAGGACATGGCGTGGTAGGCCAGAGGCACTTACCTGACCTCCAAGCAGGTGAGTCACTGTTGTTTAAGTGGAGTGGGAAGATCAAGAGGGTGGCTAGGTCAGTGTGGTGTAAACGTACCAGCAGAGTCAATCCAGTGCTCCTGGCAGTGTGTTTGCACCACATCACCCTTATCTCTGCCCCACCACTCCATCTGTTACAGGTGGAGGCTAAAAAAAACAACCCCCCTAAATAATTTCTGCAGCAATGATTCTGGTGGTAGCCCAATGCACTCTTAGACTGACCACATGCTGGCTGCCACCAGGTGTAAACCGACCTAGCTCATGAGTTATACTGGAGTATGCAACACTAAGCATTATATGATTTGCAACGAAAGGAATACATTTTTCTGCTGAGACAGAAACACAAAAGATGCCAATAATCCCTAAGCAACAATCATATCTGACTGGAGATCTTATATATATATATATATTAAATCTCACAGCACTCACCTGAAGGAAATCCAGAAAGTACCTTGATTAAAAAAACATCCATTACTCCTGGAAGTTTCATTAGGCGAACAGTTTCTTTGAGACTAAATACACTAGTGGACTGGGACACACCTAGAAAAATTTAAAAAGTAGGTTAAAGTCTGGGAAACCAGGTGGGCACCAGAAAGCAAGGAAGTCATAGGATATCTGAGCACAATGGTTTCTTTCTTTAGGAACACTTTCTATGCTCTTCTCTCTAGCATAGGTGCCCTTCCTATGGAACATGACTGCATTGAACATGCAATAGACATGCACTCCAGAATTTTATCTTTGACAGTAGTATCATCCTATGCACAACTTTTCAAAAGTAAGTCCCATTAAATTCATTGGTGCTAATCCCAAGAAATTCCAGTGTAAAGTATAGTAGTTATGTGCCTAGATTCTATAAGAACTTTTATCCATTACTTTCTTAAAGCTGAAGCAAGCTGCAGACAAGGGCTTAATTTCTTGAATAGCTGTTATCGCTGATTATTGTTATTGCGTTTATTAGTTGCTTTTTACAAAGGGAAACATACATTCAGGCCAAATATAAAAACCAGAATAAAATTAAAATGTGAAAGCCCATCTATAACATGATAAAAAAGAGATCTAATTCATCTCTAAAAAACAGTTAACCTTATGTTAACCTAAAGAATACATGTACTGTGAAATCTTGTATTCACTGCTGAGAATGCTGGTTAGTATTAATAAATGTTTCATTCGATGGAACCCCTGGTTCTTGTTATAATGGACCAACACAGAGGCCTGATATTTATTAACCCCACTTCTATGGCAGCCCCTAAGTTGTGGAATTCCTTCCCCACAGAGGTGTGCCTGGTACCTTTGTTATGGAGTTTCCATCGCACGCCGAAGACACACTTCTTTACTCTGCCCTTTGACTATACATATAGAGATGATATATATTTAGGACCCACCCTGTTCATTTGATTGCATTTGCTTTACATTGATTTCAATATTGTATTTTTAAATTGCTATAACCTGCCTTGGAACCTGCCCTGGTAAAGGACAGGTAATAATAATAATAATAATAATAATAATAATAATAATAATATTACATCAGGGAGGGTGACCAATCTGTGGTCCTCCAGATGTTGTTGGACTTTGGGTCCCATTAACCCCAGCTGGTACAGCCAATTGCCAGGGATAATGGGAGATGGAAAAGTTCCTCATGTTTGGCTTACAAACCGAAATCCTTTTTAGTTTAGTCTTTAAAGCGTAATCGGTCGTCCCAAAAGGTCAGAAATGGTAAGCACTCACTCTGGTGTGCAGCATCTCCTTTCAACTGCGGCTTTGTCTGCGCAGGGAAAAAAACGAGGACTGTCAAAGCACAAGCGAGGCATCCTGTTAGTGCAACGTAGCAAGGAAAGTAGACGCTGTCGATGGAAAACAAACAAACAAAAATGGTAAAAGTAGCTATTATGAATGCCAAGCTATGGGGATAATATGGGGAATGCCAAGCTATGGGGAAGCCATCCATTGCCTCAAAATCTTATATGTATAACATTCCTTTATTTAAATTTTACATAATATCCTCTTAATTTAGCAGCATATATAGGCATTCAAATATAGATCCCTCCAGTCTTCCAATCCCTGCCTTCCAAGATGAAGGGCACTTTGGGATCATCTCATTATCCCCTAGTATTTTACACGATTCACAAAGCAGTCTGAATTCTCCCTGCACCCCACCTGGGGTGGGAGGTTGGAGTTGGCAAAGTTGTCCTTCCAGCCAGCCCTGCTGGCCTGTGCCAACCTGCCTGCAGCTGCCACTTTCACTCCACTGGTGTGGAGCTCCCTCTTGCAACCTGCAGCCACTTCCAGAAAGCAGCAAAGTGGGGCTTTCTAGGGGCATGCAGCGAGTGGGGTTGAGCCAGCCTGGGATTCATTGGAGCCTCATCCAGCCCCGCTGCCATCATATGATGATGTCTACTGGCAAGCAATCTGCCTGTTCCTGCCTTTTCCACCCTGGCTCCTGTGTTCAGCAGGGCTACAGATGCAGCACTAGCCCTGCTATACTGCAGAGCCCCATCAGGCTGTGGGGCAGGGATGGGGAGTTAGCGTTGCTCCCTCAGGCTGCAGCTCTTCACCTGTTTATCTGACAAAAGTCCCATTGAACTCTATGGGACATACTTCTGAGTGGATATGTACAGGGTTTCTCTGTAGGCGACCAATACTTGTAGCAATCATGCACCTGACTTCCTCGTAACGGGCAGTGGCGTTGCCAATGAAAATTTCAGGAAAGAAGCAAACACACTTTTCATTTTATGTTATCCCAGTCAGCACAAAGCAAACTATGAAATGGCAAACAAGAATGATAAAGAGGAGGAAGGGAGTGGAAGTCTACAGGGCTCAAAGAGGCCCTGCTGCCGAAACTTAAACAAGAGGGCATGGGAAACCATGGTCTCCTTTGTGGTGGCCTCATGTCATGTATATCAAATCATCTTCTCTCCATTGAAGGATAATTGTGTTCTCTTCCGTATTCACTGAGGTTTATTACTATTCTCCTTCAAATGCAGATTAAAGCTGTATAAAACACAAAGGGCTGAGTAAGGCTGTGGGCACAATGATTGCCCACGTCTTACGGGCAATGTTTCTGTTAGTGTAACTGTGCATGGCAAATTAAAGGTAAAGGTACCCCTGCCCGTACGGGCCAGTCTTGACAGACTCTAGGGTTGTGCGCCCATCTCACTCAAGAGGCCGGGGGCCAGCGCTGTCCGAAGACACTTCCGGGTCACGTGGCCAGCGTGACATCGCTGCTCTGGCGAGCCAGAGCCGCACACGGAAACGCCGTTTACCTTCCCGCTGGTAAGCGGTCCCTATTTATCTACTTGCACCTGAGGGTGCTTTCGAACTGCTAGGTTGGCAGGCGCTGGGACCCGAACGACGGGAGCGCACCCCGCCGCAGGGATTCGAACCGCCGACCTTTCGATCGGCAAGCCCTAGGCGCTGAGGCTTTTACCCACAGTGCCACCCGCGTCCCGTGCATGGCAAGTTAGGGAACCTTTTTTTCAGTAGTGGGACGTGGTCCCTGGTGTGGGGGGTAATCTCTTGAGGGTCACATGCTGGCAGGGAGGCAGAGTCCATGGTGGGCAAGGCACTCTCTCTCTCTCAATCTGTTACCACCCTTTTCTCCGCCGGCCACCCAGTTTCCTCTCAATTACTCCTCTCCTTGCCATCCACATGAAATTGGGCAGAGGGCTGGTTCCCACCCCAGCTGCAAGGGAATTTGCCTTGGAGGTGAGAGGCAAAGTACGGCACATTATTCCCATGTATTTGCATTGCTGTTCACCATATCCTTTAGGAGATTTTTAGGAGACTCAGGTGTTTTCTCAAAACAGATGGAGGAGCTGTTGAATAGCAGCAAGATGCATCATGGTGCCATTTATCGCTAAAACTCAAAAGCAAGAGTCAAGTTTCTCAGTATGTGCAACTGAAGAACTTCAAAGGGCAAAATATACATAAGCACTGCTGGAGATGGGAATTTGAACAGTCCACAGCAAATTTCTAATTATTTGAGAATAAGATCAGCCTCCTGAAAACCACCTCAAGCAAACAGAGACATTTCAACAAATTGCAATCTTCTTGGGTGGCGTCAGCCAAAGCAATTGTTATCTTAAACCACAAAATTAATCCATTTACTCAGTCACAACACTTTAAGACCTGAACAGATTTTTATCAGCTTTAGTAGCTGCTTCTGCTTGTAGGATCCAAAATTGCATGGGTGGGGTAGTCAACTACAATTCAAGCTTTTCATTTTCACATATATCGTATTTTTCGCTCTATAACACGCACCAGACCATAACACGCACGTAGTTTTTAGAGGAGGAAAACAAGGAAAAAAATATTCTAAACGAAACAGTGGATGTATGATATTTGTGGTTCATGCTGTGGCCACAGACATGTGATCTGACAGTGAGTTTGGAGTAGCCCAATGCAAAAATCCTGAGGATCCATGTGGATCCATGCTTTGTAACCATGTTTTTGCACCACTGCAACCCCAGGCAACAGTGGGTGCGTGATTTTTTTGGTGCAAGATGTAGCCATGGACATGCTATGTGATCTGATGGTGAATTTGGGGTGACCCAGTGCAAAAATCCTGAGGATCCATGTGGATCCGTGCTTTGTAACCACCTTTTAAGTGGGGAGGGAAGGAAAAGCACTCAAGGGACAAGGAGCACGCATGGGGTGTGTGGAGAAGGATGCTGCTAATAATGCTGTTTAGCGAGCTGAGTGGGGAGGAGAGAGGGACAGAGAGCCTGCTTGCTTTAAAGGAGCCAACTGGACAGGAGCCGCTTACACTCGTGTAAGCGGCTCCTCTCCTCTCCCACTTTGCTCCTTTAAAGCAAGCAGGCTCTCTGTCCCTCTCTCCTCCCCACACAGCGGCTCTTCTCCCACTTTGCTGTTTCAGAGCGAGCCACGGAGGAGGGAAGGAAGGGGAACCATGGATCCTCTGCTCACAACTGCAGCAGATCCCCCCCCGCCACCCGTAGGCATTCGCTCCATAACACGCACAGACATTTCCCCTTACTTTCTAGGAGGAAAAAGGTGAGTGTTATGGTGCAAAAAATACGGTGTGTGTGTATATATATATATATGTACCCCTGCCCGTATGGGCCAGTCTTGCCAGACTCTAGGGTTGTGCGCTCATCTCACTCTAGAGGCCAGGAGCCAGCACTGTCCGCAGACACTTCCGGGTCACGTGGCCAGCGTGACAAGCTGCATCTGGCAAGCCAGCGCAGCACACAGAACGCCGTTTACCTTCCCGCTGGTAAGCGGTCCCTATTTATCTACTTGCACCCGAAGGTGCTTTCGAACTGCTAGGTTGGCAGGCGCTGGGACAGAACGACCGGAGTGCACCCCGCCGCGGGGATTCGAACCACCGACCATGCGATTGGCAAGTCCTAGGCGCTGAGGTTTTACCCACAGCGCCACCTATAATTTCAGATTGCCAGCTCTATGAAATCCCAGGATAAAATCCAATATATATATATATATATATATATATATTGTGGATTTTATCCCTGGGATTTCATAGAGCTGGCAATCTGAAATTATAGGGGGAGCACAACCACCCGTATCACTGAAAGGCACTGAAAGGCTTTAAACTACCAAACTCTCAAGCTGGGATAGTGCGTCCCATTTCGCCGCTTCAAGCTAACCAGGAAGTGCCACCTTGCCTTGCTGCCGCTCTCCCACCACCACATACTTGCTCCTGCTGCTGCCTGCTCAGCTGCCACTGCACTCCTTGCTGCAACTGCTTATCATGGAGAACCAGCATCACCATCAGTGCCTATTCCAAGCAAGATGATGCTGATTTGCTGTGAGGCACGGTCTTGCCAATATTGGTGGCGAAGCAAGCAGGGCACCCAAAGGCATGCTGCCTGAGGCAGCTGCCTCACCCTGCCTAATGGCTGGGCCGGACCGGCTTTCCTCTGAAGGATCACACATAGGCTGCAATGCTGACAAGGTCTTCCAGGCCAACCCAGGTCTGAATGAGGGCCATTCTTCATTCCCTATCAAGCATAAGCAGATGGAACAAGGGGAACTACATGACACTGGAACCAGATAACCCTGGGGTGGGTGGTTCCTGGTTGGGTCAGGAATTAATCCCTCTTCACAGAATACTCTAGGAACTACAAGCATGCTTAACAGCTTCTAGAATTCTTTGGGAGGGAAGCCATGACTGTTTAACATGGTTTCATGGTGCTTTAAATATATGGTGTGAATGTGGCCTAGGACTGACTAAAATTCCCTATGGAACAGCAAAACAAAAACAAAAAACCAGCCAAATTACGTTATTGGGTTATTCCCTTTTTCTGAATTTCTTTTGGGTGTTTAGTAGGAGTTGGCTGGCAAGTTCCTGTCTGCACTGAACCTTCTAACATTCCATCCACTTGATAACAAAGACAAAAATGGTCTCATGTTGACACATATTTTGCTGTGTATATTCAGGGAAAGTTAATATTGACAGCTTTTCAGAGCTTCCCAAGTCACCTGGACCAGCTTTCATACCACTGGCAGATTCCATTCTCTGTCAGCTGTGCAGGGAAACCAACCATGATAACAGATTACGGTGTTTGCAGTCTTGTGATGATTTTTCTAGGGATTATGTAGGTAAAGATAGAAAAGCTTTAAGTGCAACAGAACTGCTTAGAGACATACCAGGGACTCGCCTTATTTCTGAAAACTTGGCACGCCACACAGCCTCATGGTCCTCTTCCCATATGTGTGTGCATGGCACACAGAGACTGTGGTCTATTCATGATGGTATTGGGACAGTCACATGCTATTCTGCTTTCAGTGCTGTTGGTTCCTGCAAAAGTATTGGGGCAGTCACACTGCTTCATTTCCAATCTCTGCATACAGTGGTACCTCG